CCCCCCCCCCCCTCTGGATCCACCCTTGATCACAGTGCCTTTTTTAAGAAATTTTTAATAAATTAGAGGTGCCATCGAATTATTTTGACTGCGATTATTACGTTAATACCATGGGTCAGCTACATTATGATTTTTTTCAACCTGTCCATAATATTATTTCGTGTGCTTTTTCTTCGTGTGGTTCTCCACCCCTGCTAAATATAGCTTAATCACCCAATAATTTAGAGTAGGCTTCGAGCCCCTTATAGAGGACTTACAGCAGTGAGTTTTAATTAATATTTTACTTTACATTTTTGTAGCTTAGTTGTTAATGATTTGATAATTCCAGGGTAACTTCCCCATAAAATGGCGCGTATGGAACGAGGCCAACCCGGCGCAGGAGTGTTGCTTCCTCGCGCATCTCGCTATCAGCAGGCGATGAATAAACCAGCTATCATTATTATTAAAAAAACATAAAGACAAATTGAGTACCTCCTTCTTTTGGGAAGTCGGTCAATAAACTCTTACTCTTCTTGATGTTAAAAATAATCATTTTACTTGTGAACTTTAAAACCGCTGACATTAAACTTATTTTTCACATATATTGGCTGTGTTTTTTTTTTTAATTTCACTCGAACGAAGTCGCGAGCAAATCACAATAAACAATAGTAATCTGTCTATAATCGCTGACGTTGGTACTACCAACAATAACAATGATTTAACAACAACTATTTTTAAAACCATGAGGTTAACAATATAGCAATTTCTTCACAATTAATGCGCCAGTTGTCAGCCGATATAACATTATTCGATGATAATTTTCGAATCTAAGAGCACACGCTTTTGATTAACCTTACGCACTATTTAGTCGCGCTTTGATTCATACGAGCTTATATGAAGGTGCGCACACAACTCGATTTTTAGTTGTGCAACTAAACAGTTGAATTTGCGAAACAATCGACAATCGCACAACAGTTGTGCGATAATTTAGTTAAAGGTGTGCGCCCGCTCTAACTGTATTCTTGATTTATGTGTCTCAAGAGTATGACAATTTCTTTAAGAAGCCTCGTTAATATTATACTATTCCTATACATAAATATAAAAAAGTAACAGATGTACAACAAAAAGGTCTTCAAAGATTGCGTTGATATTCTGGAGGAAGCATTATAAATAACGCATCGATAATACGATACAAATCCATTAGATAAGTTAACGATAGCCCAAAATTACATTTTACAGCAGCAATAGTTATAAGAATATTACAGGTTATAACAATAGTATTATACAATTATTATGCCGGTGATACAACGAACTCTTCGATCCCTGATCTCATATATTTAGCACGATAGAAGACGGGCATTAAGTCATTGTTATCGGTTATCAATTGCAAAGTTGTTCAAACACGGCTCGTCCGCGCACCGGACTTCAGGGGTGGCAAATATGCC